CGATACAGGCATTGATGGACATGATTCAAGATGATTCGGAGCCACCCAAGAAGAAACTCTATGATCTAAAGCTCTCTTTGCTTGATGAGATCGGATGGACCCACTTGGCTACATACGAGAGACAGTGGATGCATGTTCGTTTTCCCCCAAGCTTGCCCCTTTTTTAGGCCCCCCCCCCACTTCCCAAGTATCTAATGTTAGGAGGCCTGTCCTTTTACTCGGTGGTTTTTTCATCTTGTGAAAATAATTTGTCACGTCAGAAGGGGACCTTTCACATCAATAAGCTAGTAGCTAGTAGGACACCCACCTCGACCGACAATAAAATGGGGTCAGGTATTTGGGGCTGCCCCACCAATTCTTCGGTAGGGGAATTGCATGTTACCTGAGATTAATTAAAAGATGAAAGAAACCGAAACGTGGCGATTCACTCTTACTGCCGTAAACTGTGGTCGGAGGATGTGAAAAGGCAGAGCGCCTGAGCTCCTACAGGTCGGCATTGAGTTGAATGGTTTCCTATTGTATTCATATTTGGCTGTTTTGACAATAAGAGTTCAGTTTGGTCATCATCTTCCTCTTCCCCTCGCCCATACACTAGTCTTGCTGCTCGTGTTTCATGAAATTTCAAGTGTCTGTGTTGTCTCTACAATTCTCAACTTCCGTTACAAGTATGAGATCACTGTGAAGAACATGCTTCGTGCTTTCCAATATTTCTTAGTTTTTCTGGTTCATGGGCAGATGGCCTTCAGACTTGAGAGATATAAATGAGTGAAGCTGAAGTTTGATTTAAAGAGAAGTGATCTAATGGCGTTTTAGTTATATTCCTAAACTTTGTTCATTTAACTACATTTTTCAGAAATAGTTCAGATCATTTAGTATTTAAACCAAATTACTATTGAAAAATGGTCGTCAAATGTACGACGCACTGACTAGATAATTTGAAGCTTAATAATTCGTAAACTTATCGTGAACCGCATGCAAGACGACGAGACGTGTATGCTCAGAATCGTAATAAAATCATCAAAAGGATGCTTTGTAATTTTTAGTCAAAAACCAAACCATTTAGGATTAAAACATGAGGTTGTGTTAGGATCAGACATTCTGTTCTCGGATATAAATTTGAGTCAACCGTAATGTGATAAGCACATGAGACTCAATTTTGATTTTTGAATCATTCCACTCGCCACCCCACGTGCTTAGTCGCCTTAGACTTGGAATTCAAGCAATGTGGACATGTATTAAAAATGCCAAACCTCATATTCACATTTTAAGATTCAGTGTTTCCTGGCAAATCTTGAACGTCTTCCCTTTTTTCCTTCGGCCGTCCAGGTTTGTGGGTGAGACTCATGAAACATGACAAAACATTTTTCTGAAAATATATATATATTAGATTGGAACTTTAAAGCGTATTTCATAATGTTATTCAAAGTATTAATATTTTTCACTTAATATTCCTAACTAATTATAAAATTTTCTATCTAATTAACCAAACTCCTCGAACTAATGATTTTATTCAGAATAATTTTGATAACTAATATCGTTAATTTATGTTATTAGGTGCTTATAGTGAAAAACCGAAGAGATTATTATTTTCATTTTGTTCTATATTCTTCAGAGATTATTATTATTATTTTTCACTTATATATATGTATATTTTTTGGTGTGTGTGTGTGCGTGTTTCGGTATAAATATATGTATATGTATATGTATATGTATACACGCGAGTGTACACACACTTCCAAGTTTACTAATGGTTGGTCGGCTTATTTGCACCACACAGGATGCGGCTAGCTAGCTTCTCCTTTTGGATAGGCAGATCTTCAAATATCAAACCTTATCGGGATTTTTTTTCCCCACCGTGAACGTCCGGAATTAATTACTTTTATTTTATCTTTTTTTTAAAAAAAATAATACTCTTCCGATCCTCAATATAAAAGTTAATTAAGAAGTTAATATTAGTCCTCTATATAAGACATATTTTATATGTTTATCAGTTTTTTTTTTCAAATTAACAATATATCATATAGCTAATTTAACTAACATTTTTAATCTATTCAAATTAGTTAATTAGGTCTTATATTAAGTATAGGAGGAATATAGTAGAAAAGATAAGTTACCTGTGTCTCCAGATCTACGACTTGTTTGGCTTATTTTTCTTATGCAATCGCCAGCTTCTCGTTTTGGGTTAGCAGATCGTCAAATATCCAACGTCTTCAATCAAGAAACTTGCTTGGAATATTTTTTTTTAAAAAAAAAGAATAACGAAATTAAGTTGCTTGAATATTATAAGTTACGTTTACGTCTCTCAAACTCAAAATACTTGTCTCTCATCAATTACTTTCTGATTTTCCAAACAATTAGAGGTGAAATAAACTTATTGAATTAAAATTAGAGAAACTGAGTTTATCAAAGCGAGTTTTAATCACGCAGAGGATATATCAGCATACTTATTCATTAATTAATATGATGAACAGAAATTTCTCTTTTTAATACAGTAATATTATCATTATTATTTTAATTTCTCCAGCATCCTCTCCAAAATAATATAAAATTCTAATGGCTTACCCATTAGGGACACAATGATATTGCCGAAGAAAGTCATACAATTATGTGTGCCTGGTGGATCAGAGATTCTGAGGTTGTTATCATGAGAGTTGAAGTTTTTTGCAGCACCAAATTGTATGACTTTTTTTTCCCAATCAAATCGTAATATGTGACCTGATTTAACTATGTCAAGTCAAAAGTAAATTGTACCGTTAATTTATAGTTTATAAACGATGAATTGAGTTTCTTTTAAATGTTACTAGATCCGATTCTTAATATAAGATATTGTTTGATTTTTATTTTGATTCTAAACATAAGATCTCAATCCACTTTGTCTCTTATATTTATGTATTTTTTTTCAAGATGGTCCTTCTAACAATGGTGGTTCTAACTGATACGTTTGATTAGTAAGGATATTTTAGAAAAAATACCGCCTATTTGTTACAAATAACTAACTAACTTTTTTCTTTAATCTCCTTAAATTAGTCAACTGGCTTTTATAATTAGGACTGGAAGAAGTATTATATATACAGAATTGATTTAAGCGTGAAGATGAGGGGATTGGATGTATATAATTATTAATAAAATTGTAAGTTCAACCCTCGGCATTATTATATTAGTGATATCATGGAGATGTAATCTCTACTTTGAAGAAATTTGTGTTTAACTTTCGGAACCAGTTTTTGAAATATATACATAGGGTTACATTGAAACGGAGGTTTTATCCCATTATAATATTCTTGTTCAACGCACAAATCATCATCTTTAATACTACCTCCGGTTGTTAATATAAGATCTTGTTTGACTTTTATTTTGATCTTAAATATAAAACTACAATTCACTTTGTCTCTTATATTTATATAATTTTTTCCAAAGTAATATTTCTAACAACAATAGTTTTAGTCAATATACTTGATTAATAAGAATATTTTAGAAAAGACAAAATATATTTATTACAAATGATTAACTTAATTTCTTTTCTTAATCTTTTCAAATTAGTTAACTAGTTTTTATAATTAGGACCGGAGGTAGTAAATTTTATAAATATGTAGGGACTTGTATTGTTGACAAACTGCCATCAGTGCAACTTCCTACAGTAGACATCATGCATTTTTCCCCCTCTTCCAAGTTTTTTTTTTTTTGAAATTTTTTCTTCAACTTTCCTCTACAAACCTCAATATATTTTCTTCAAACTTTTTGAGTTGCCAGTTTGATATAGGATATGCAAGTATTCTGTTATAAAATTAATCTTTTTTACATTAATTACATTTTTTCAGGCTGTTATCCTTTTTCGTCATGGAAAAAAGCTAATCAATCAGCTGCAAAAAATAGTGTTGTCACATAGTAAGAAAAATTTATATATATATATATGTAAAATATAACATTTTTAGCAAGTCATAATGTGTATGTAAAATGTATATAGTTCAATTTTAAAATTCAATAAAACTAAAATGTTAACTGTTGTGTTGCTTGTATGGTATTTTAAATAGTTGACTTATATAGTTTAATAAGCATGAGAAATATTAATGTGGCAAATCAAATCATAATTATTAATAAAATAAATAATTTTAAAAATCTAATACAAACAAAACAAATAAAGCAATCAATTGTCAGTTATTATCAATGCAAGAAATTTTTGGTCAAAAAAAATGCAAGCAATTGACTTCTACAAAAATGATAAGAGTAATGATGATGCAAATATGAGGTAATGGGGCCCATTTTACTATTTAAAAGTTGGCATTATTATTTAATATAATACCCCTGTGCTCAATAATGGTGTAGCCTCTATATCGTGAATATTCTCGCCTAGGTTTTGACAAAATGTTACAATGATCGTCTCACAAAATCTACTCACTTTGCTTGCTTTCCCGACATAACTACATCTATAGCTAGCTAGCGTCTCTCACTTTGCTTGGTTTTTGATTGCATATAATAACCATTGATGATATATATATATATATATATATATAGCCCTTCCACTATTAAATAGATTAATATTATCCCTCCAATCATACATTGTCAGTTCACAAAAAAGGGACGTTAAAATTAATCATTAAGTAACTGTTATTGATAGAGAAGGGGGAAGGAGCAAGAATAACAGAGAGATAGAAAGAAAAGAGAAAGAAGGACAGATTCAGATGGAAGGGATAAAAGGCAAAAACGATCCTTATTTTAATATCATTAAAGACGTACAAAGCAAACGTGTTGGATGAGCCTCAACCTAATCCTAGAAATTAATGAGAAAGCATTCTAGAAACCTAAAAGTATAGAAGATAACAATTAATCAAAACATTGCTCAGCACTGTCACTTCACTTGAAGCACCAAAAATACTATCCCCAGTCTTAATTATAAGACTCGTTTGTAGACTATAAATATGGTTTTATAATTAGAACCGGAGATAGTATGTATTACATTATACGACATATAATTCTACTGGTGGAGAAAAAAAAAGAAAAGAAAGAATGTAGTTACTATAGGATAGGGTACGTGCGTGCTTAATGTGCATAATCTCCGATGCAACTGATTAATCAATATGAATCAATATTTGTGAAGAGGCTTCACAAGGAGAGGAAGTCCACAAGAGGGCCTCAAGGAGAGCATGATGGAAGGAGAATGATGATAAGAAGGTGAGAGTTCAAAGGTAAACGTAGACAGAAGTAGGGTTAGCACGATCTTATATTCCATGAACGTTAGGTTTCTTCCCACACACATTCTTCCTCCGAACCCAAACGGCAAGTACCCCATGGCGTGCTTGCACCCGCCGTTTACGTCGTCCCTGAACCTCTCCGGCCGGAACTCATTCACGTCCGATCCCCATAGGGCGGCGTCATGGTGCATCGCCACCACATCGATCCACAGGTTGGTTCCATTTGGCACCGTTAGGTTTTCGCCTACTTTGATGTCTTCTCTTGCTTGCCTTTGAACGTTTGGGGCTGGTGGGTATAGTCTTAGAACTTCATTCATCACCCACTTCATCTGCAATATATATTAGGATCACAAATCATCAATATTAACTCTTAGATAGACGACTGTAAATTTAAATTTACAAGCAGGAAATGTTCAGAAAGAGACAATCATATTGCAGCGTGCAGCTGGAAAAAGTTGTCATTTTTCCATTGGATAACTCGGAGATGAAAAAGCATATGAAGTTGCCTGGGCAAAACTTGGAATGTTTGGTACAATAATAATTTTGACTGAGAATGTGTTGCCATAGGTTTTGTTGGCAAAGTCGTATTCAAAGTCCTTAACAATGTTAAACGTTACGGTCTTGAACAGATTAATATTCTGATAACTTCTACATTTTTTTTTTTTTGGCCTCATTGCAACTTTATAGGTCAGATTTAGTACCAGGTTTAGACAATCTTGGCAAAAAGAAATGTGAACATTAAATATTGGAAGTCAATTTACTAATATTCTATGTCTATAGTCAACTTTTCTGTGAGGGAATTTTCTTCTGAAAAATAGTATATTCAATAAGTGTATGTGTGTTTACATACTATTTATAGTTAAAATTTTAATAACGAATACTCTAATAATTTCAATATTTTTTGAATATATATTATAGAAGACATCTAATTCTAGTTGAACAACCAATGACCATCTTTCTTTTTTTCGTACAGTACTACGAGCTCCGGCCATAGGCTTTCCATGGTGTGGACCACCGAACTTTAATTCGTGACATATAATATTTTGTGTTCCTTTCAAAGGGTATTTCGTGGACTAAAGACCTATGAATCTCCTATTCGCACAATTCTCATGTATCAATTTTGACCATACATCCACGTCAAAGTGTGGTTTCCAGGAAACATCTACGTACGTAGTAAGCTACATATATATATAATAAAAAGACTTCAAGTTCAAATTCTTTTCAAACTAGCAAAAAGGACTAGTTAATAACTACACCTAAACCATGCCCAATACACACAAAAATGATATGAGAAAAACATTTTATAGAGTCGTCTTCGTCTAACCCACTCTTCTATTCTCATTAAAGGTGGGCTACGGTTTGTCAATTCAATCCTAGCAGGCTCTCATTAAATAATCAACCACACATGTACTTATAATATATAGTTTGTACCTTACCACCCAGAATCTTAAATAAAACTCTACTTCATGTATTTGATTACGTAGGGTGCATGACATTTTTTAATTGATACGACGAGTCATATATGTATAAACATATATTATTATAAAGAAGTCGATAATCTACTGCTAATAGTCTTTTCTCTTTTTTTTTTTTTTAAATATGATTAAGTTTAAATACCTGAATAATATAATATCGATTGCATTTAAAATTTGCGCGAGAGAGTAATCTTGTATAGTTGTCTGGAGAGATACTTTTCCTAAATTTCGCCAAGCCAAGAGTAGTTTGACACAAAACAGAACAACGTGGATGGCAGAATATAGATATAGTGAGAGATGAAGCTTGTCTTACCTTTTTCAGCTCAGAAAGCAAGTTGATATCAAGCTGGTCAATATTATCACCCAAAACTTGCCTTATTTCGTCTCTCAGTTGAATCTGCCAATCTTGATGCTCCGCAAGAAGCAACAAAGTCCATGTGATGGCCAATGCCGTTGTCTCGTGTCCTCCAAAGAAGAACGTTTTGCACTCATCAACAAGTTCTCTTGTCGTCAACGTGTGGCGATTTTCTTGAAGTAACAATCCCAACAAGTCCTGTTCTTGTTTATTGGTCTTCTCAGCACTTGACGATGCTGAGGACTTTCGGTTTCTTATGACAGATAATAACACCTTGTCGATTTCTTTGCCCAGTTTCTTGGCTTCTAGGGTTTTCTTCACGTTCAAACACTTGCCAAATGGAACCCCCACGTATCTTGTCGTCTTGAAAAGGGTCATCTGGAGGGCTCTTAGTTTTTTAAACACTTGTCTTGCTTTCTCATCCTTCATGCCGAAGCTTGTTCGTGCTATGATCTCTCCGGCCGTCGTGATGATCTCATTTTCAACGTCGATTTCCATGTTGCTGCTGCCGGAGTTTATCTGGCTCGTCCATCTCTCTATCATTTGCTTTGTCGATTCCACCATCATACTTGCCATGGCCTGTCACATTCAAGATTATGTAGAAGACAAATCATTAGAATCAAGTCTCTTACATTCCTTGAGGAATAATATTTATCTCTCTCTCGACATGATGATGACAACAAGAAAAGGTATTTATCCATATGCTCCCATATATAATATAGTAAAAGGAAACCTTCCTTTTCTGTTTTGTTTCGTTGTTTTTCCGGCCATTTCAAGTAGGCCTTATAATGTGCTAATGCTATAATTAGCTCGCAGCAAAACTTTTTAATAACATTCACTTTGAGGTCAGCCCTGGCGTAAGCATAACCGGGTTCCATATCCTTTTATGGCAATAAACATAGCGACGAAATTCATCATCACTTCATACTTTTCAAGGTTAATCTTCCGATAAAGTTGTCAAAGTTATATTATGTGTAATAGAAAAAAGATATGGAGAGAAGATATCATGATCGATCGTCAAAACACGCAACACTTTTGGAGTGCGGATATTAATTAGTATCCATAAGCTAATTAGACTCAACTAAATTTGATACCTTTTCCTTTCACTTGAGAGAAGCTATATACATGTCATACTCTTCTCTTCAAGGAAATAACTATACGACTGAGAAAAAGGGGTTCAATTTTGTTATAACCACTATGGTATAAAATGTATACTTTTCAAAACCTAACAACCCCCGGTTAGGAAAGCCAAAACGAACCAAAGTTTATAGTTAAATTGAAATTGATGGGTTAAATAATCTATATATCTATCGTGTATATATATTATATATACCTTGAGGTTAAGGGGAGAGAATGCTGGCGCAACAACGTGGCGGTGACGAACCCAGTCGTTGCCTTCGACCATGACCAGACCATTTCCAAACATTGGATCTCTGTCGTTTCGGAACACACTTGGCTTTCCCCATCTCTTGGCCATCACCTCCGTTGACATCTTCTTCACAAGTTCTGGCTCTGCTATGTACAAAAATGGCTCTGTTCCAAGCCAGTACACGAAAACCTTTCCTGCACATATTAATTAATATTATAATAATCTGCCTCTTAATCTCATGTATAATAGCGCATATATATATATACACACACACATAGCTATGTATATGTGTGGCTTACCGTGAGAATCTTGCCAGCGAGAAAAATAAGGAAAGACGGTGGGGTGAATATCATGGGAGAGACAGTCGGAGGAATATTCGAGAGAATCAGAAGAAGTATTGATATGATTCTTCTTCTTCTTCTTCATGTCTCGAATGTTTCCGAAAGGAAAGCTTGGGGCAGGCCCTGTGAATCCACATCTCTTGAGCTGATGACGAGTGAGAATAGGGAAAAGCCACCAAGATAATGTTAGCTTCAAGAACATGAGGAGAGCTAAAGATGAGAGGAAGGCAGGGGCCAAAGCTAGAAACTCCATCTCTTCAGAGATGAATGTGTATATGAAAGTTGGTTGTGGGAAGCAAAGTGGGAGGAAATGGGGTATTTATAGAAGGAGAACGACGATTGAGTTTTTTGAATGACTTGAGAAGCTTTGAATATATTGATTTTTCTCTGTTTTTCTTCCCCCCCCCCCCAAAGTGTGTACCTGCTGAACCTTTTAGACCCACACTTCCTCTTTTAGACCAGGCCAGACGGTTTACATGTTTTTCCTTTCAAATTGGTTTTCGGGGAATTATAACTCATCGAAACACTTTTTATACTACCTCCAATCCTTAATATAAAAATTAGTTAACTCATTTAGATGAAATAAAAAATTAGTTAAGTTAATCATTTATAATAAATAGATGTTATTTTTTTAAAAATACCTTTACTAATCAAGTGTGTTAGCTAAAATTATCATTATTACAAGGACCACCTAAAAAAAAAAGATAAATATAAGAGATAAAGTAGGTTAGAGTTTTATATTTAGGACCAAAATAAAAATTAAACTAGATCTTATATTAAGGACTAGAGGTAGTATTAAAGATGTTACTTTATTACTATATTTATTTATTTATTTCATTTAATATAAAACATAAAAATCTACGTTGAGCTACCCTTTTCTTTTCTTTTCACCATATCATAAATTAATGAAATATAGCTTTTCATATGACCTCATATAGGGCTGGTAATACAGGCCAACCTACGGGTTGCAGGTTATTCGGTGCGGGTTCAGAAGGCCCTTTTAACCCGTCAAAATACCTTCTTCTTCTTTTTTTTTTTTTTTTTTTTTTTCCCTGTTTTTTTAAATGTTAGCACTTATATACGTAATCAAAAATAAAAAATTACAAATGATACAAAATATTACAAACATCCAGATAAAAATTACAACACATTAAAATGCAAACAGTATATAATTATCCAATATCCAAATATGATAATACACAAGTTCACACATTTTTTTCCAATAAAACCAACATGCAACACTAAATAACCATCTTGATCTTATTATCACTAATAGCAATGACATTTGAAGTGGAAGTATTGTTTGAAATTGGTTCAATATTGATTTTGATAGTAGTAACAGCAACACTTTCCTTTTGCTCGGATTCATTTGCCACAAATAATTGAAAAATGTGAAAGAAATATATCATAATTTAGGGTTGTTGACTCACTGCCTTTCTTCCTTCAGATTTCATTATTTAATATATTTTTTTATAAAAAAAACATAGGGCCAACCCGTGGGCCAACCCACCATGAGTTCAACCCATGGTGGTGCGGGCTGAGTTTTTTCAGGTGGTGGTGGGTTGGCTTTTGGCCAACCCTAACCTGTCTTTTTCAGCGGGTTGATAGGTTCGACCCGCGGGTCCAACCCATATTACCAGTTCTAATCTTGTACAATTTTTTTTCTATTCTTTTAACTTTTTCCACCCCTTTGTGGGCTCTAAGCAAATTTTTTTGTTTTAATATTTTCACATATTTCAATAAAATCAAAATTAAATATTAAAAGGTGTGCCAGAAAAACTCTCAAGTTATTATGGAAAATATATAATTGCACCATGTTAAAATGTGAAGAAATGAAAAAAGATTAGTATTATAACTTAAAAAACCCTTTTTATCATAATTAATATTTAATTTAATTAAAATTTTAGATTATAAAAAAATTAATATCAATGCTACGTATAAATCTACTACTTTTATTATCACATTATTATAATTTTATTTTATATCGTTTTGATGTTTTACCATGATCGGCAATATAACTTTAATACTAGTTTAAATAATTATTTAATATTATAAAGATAATTTTATAAAACGTTAAATCTATCTCAACCATTTGAGAAACTTCATGGCAGAAAAAATTTATTAGCCTTTTTATTTTTCACTTCAAGTATCTATTTCTCGGATGCTAGTTTCAAGATAATTAAGTTATGGCTGCATTTAATGGTGGGACAATATATATGACACTGAAAGCCCATATATATTCAGGTAAAAAAGGCTAATGTTGTCGCGGAAGAGGATTGAGACTAGCTTTATACAGATAATTACATTGTTTTTTGGTACCAAGGAAATCCAAATCCTAAAAATAAAAACAAAATGCAAAGGGTTGCAATCCCATCACCTCTTTCTGCACCAGAGTTCTCACGAGTTGAGGGGCCGTGTCAAATAAAGAGGTAGTAGTCAGACGACCCTTATTTACCAATTTATTACTACCTCCAATACTTAATATAAAAGCTCTCGTTTCACTTTTATTTTAGTCTTAAATAAAAGATCTAATTTATTTTATCTCTTATATTTATTTTTTTAAAATAGTATTTATAATAATGATAGTTTTAATCCATACGTTTGATTAGTAAAAATATTTTAGGAAAGACAACACATACGTATTACAAATAACTAACACAATAAATTTTCTTAATCTATTCAAATTAGTCAACTAGCTCTTATATTAAGGATTACAGGTAGTACCTCCAATGCTTAATATAAAACTCAGTTGACTACTTTGAAGATACTAAAAAAGTTATTAAATTACTTGATTATGACATATGTTACATAATCTCTCTAAAATACTTATATATATCATTAAATTGTATATTGATTTACAAGTGAGGTAAATAAGTTTGGATAAAACCAATAAATGCAAACATTTTAAAATAATTTAATAATTTTTTAATGTCTTTAAATTAATTAATTGGGTCTTATATTAAGGATTAGATATAAGTGCCTGCAAATAGATTGCAATCTTTGAATATAAATTGGAATTGGAAGTTCCATCTCATTGAAAGGAATCTCTTAATCAGGTAGAAGTCACATATACGCGCTGGCATGATCGATCAGATTCCAGAGTGAAGTCTTTGAATCCCATTTTCCGTGCTAAAATGATATCTTTTAGCATAGCCGATTCCTCAACTTCATATGTGTGCAGTACAGTTGGCAACATAGAAAGAGAAACCAACAACATAATCCATCAAGTGACATGTTGATCTCGAAGAACCCACCATGTTGCCTTTAATTTTGTTGAGATTCATCCCTCGTATCATCAATATTCAATTTAATCACATTAGGGCATATAGTGACATGTTGAAATTAGAAGAAAATAATTTTTAATACAATAATAAAACCTTTTAACTTGGATTTCTGATCTGCTGTCTTGCTCTTCAAAATCTATAAAGAACTACATTTAGATATTGGGTCACTAAACACTTTTTTTTTTTATCTAACGCGGTTGTCTTCGAGAATATATAAACAAGGACTAAACTATATATATATATATATATATATATATATACATATCATATTAACCCCCGAGAAACAGAGAGAAAGAGTTCTTAGTCACTACTTCTCTAAAACTCAAGATAGAAAAAAAAAATATAAATATAAGAGACAAAATGGATGGGTCTTATAATTAGGACCAAATAAAAAGTCAAATTGGGTCTTATAATAAGGACCGGAGGAGTATTATGTTTTTTACTGGCTTCATTTAAACTATGTGTTTACAACTTTCATGTGAGGCATTTTTTGGCCATAATTCATTTGCCTGTTAAACTCACAACTCTAGATTTAGGGGGGGGAAATGTTTGGTGTTCATTGGGTTACAAGTCCCGCAGAGTTTGAGACAGGAATTAAATCATATTAAAAAAACATTCATTCCTCTACAAGTTTTTTTTAATAAAGGGAATCATGTATTTATATTTGCTGGACTAATTGAATTTAGTTATTCATTAATGATGATGAACAGTCAAAGCACTATAAACAATGAATTTGATTTTTTTTTTGGCCAGCAATAAAACACAATATTCATTAACTTAGTTAGACACAAGAGCATTAGGTAACAGAGTCAACACAACACAAAACGGCTATCCAACTCCAGTCATCGAATTAAGAGCGTTATTCTCCAAAATTGTCCTAAGCGCAGCAGGAGGTCTCCAAATCCAGTCATGCGGACACGACCCCTTCAAAGAAGCTTTGGCCACCCAAACCACTGCCATATTTGCTTCCCTTCTGGGCGAGATCAGCACGTTTAATGGTATATTATAGTCAACAAAACACAAAACGGCTATCCAACTCCAGTCATCGAATCTGATTTTTTTTTTTAAATACTCACTCTGAACTCCAACACGTTTATCATAGTTTTAAAATTAATATTAAACCATGATAACAATAACTGATTATATCCTTTTTTTGGTAAATCCTAATAATGGTATATTATAAGAACGAGTTTATGGCCAAGATGAGAACTGAGGTTGGCTTTCATGAAGAAATTAGGGGGGGTTTGGAAGCACTGAAAAATGCTTCTCAAAAGTACTTTTTCATAAAACGAGACAATTTCCTCTACATATTTACTTTCGTATACTGTAAAAGTACTTTTAAAATCATGGTTTAGTTTTACTACACAAACACCTTATAAAGTGTGGTGCAGCCGCCTTTATTGCATTATTAGAGTATCTGGGCTTTAACTTCTCATGAAAAGCACGTTGGTATTGAGCCGAAAGTTTTCTATTTTGACTCACCAATAATTGAAAGCGGGATTGGGAAGTTTAATTATATATATATATATATATATATATATATATATATATATTTATAGGAATTCACTTAACGAATTAAATGCATATTTCTCGGCTTTTATTAGAATAATTAGATTTGTCTCATTATTCAAAATAAATATTTTATTGATATATCCCTTCAAAGCATGTAAATCATGTTTTCATAGATTAAAAATGACTAAAGAGAAACTTATTGTAAAAATTTTAAATAAACTTATTTGGTCATAAGTGAGGCCTACAGTTTTTTTTAAAAAAATAATAGTAATAGTGGTTTAATTTAATAAATGAAAACATTATACGATTGTTAAATAAAAATATAAAATGACATTGGAATGCATTAATTTCAAAAGATTCAACAATAATAAGCATAGATATATGCTTGTGTTGCTCATAAAAAATCAAAACATAAAAAATAACATAAATATGTTACATAAATACCGCAGATCTATCCAATTCTGCTCAGAAATAATAATTGAAAAAAACACTAAGGTCTATTTTTTATTGATGTCGTAGGACCCGTTTGGTACGAGGAAAAATGAGAGGAGGGGAGGAAAGGGAAAATTTTAATAAGCTTAATTTAAAAAATTTAAAAAGTGGAGTTAAAAGTTTTTAATTAATTTTTATTACTCTTTTATATTACTTTTTCTCTTTATTAAAATTTCAAAATTCCATTTCTTTAATTTTTTTAAATAGAACTCATTAAGATTTTCCTTCTGCTCTCCGTCCCTCCATTTCCCTTATACCAAACATTAGCTTAAGTGAAGCTTGCAAATATTCGCTGGCGTTTAGTTTACAGCTAGCGTGGATTTTTGTTTAAAAAAACTGACATGATTATCATGATTGTGAGAACAAAGATCAAAATCTCAATGATGAAAACATAAATAATAGAAAAAAATTACATGTTGCTTGACATAAAGCTAAGTCTAAAATCTATTAGAAGTTTAGGGCATCATATACTTTGAAATTAATTGAATCCTTTAAGTTTCAACGCTGCTTTATTAGAAGTTTAGGACATCATACTTTGAAATTAAAGATATGCAACGATCGTCTGCTGCACGCTAACATTATTGCTCCAAATAACAAATCCAAATTATTATTTTTTTTTTTGGTAGAGAACAAATCCAAATTATTTAGATATAATTTCATGACTTAAATATTAATTTTATAATGTTATATTATTGTAAATTTAAAAAAAATCATTGAAATCTTTGAAATTAAATGTAAACAAATCTCTGATGTAACAGCACTTAGGAAAAACAAATTCTTAAATAATTTTAGCGAGAATGACGAGGAACTATATTCTTCCCGGACTCTATCCTTCTGCTGCATATTTTTAATTTAACAAAATAATACAATTTCCAAGTCAAATATCTTTTTAATTTGACTGGCCTATTCCTGTTTTGGATTTTTCAGATGGTAATGTCTCTCGATATTTCACGATTCTTACTTTATCCAGATGTAAAACGAGTTCATGGGAAAATATAAGTGTATGGTTAACTTCATTTCAAAAGAACTAAAAGTTTAAAAACAAATTAGACGTAATCAAAATTAAAAAAAAAATTGAGATCGCAACATGTGAAAACATGCAGATTCCTTTTGCTGCAAAATCTCAGCGTTTGCAAGTCAAATGGCAACTTGAATTAGGTTTGGTTGATTTGATTAGTGGTATAGGCATAGCCATGATTTCTCTTGATAATATAGGCACTGCCAATACTTAAAATTATAATTGAAACTATTAATGGACACCTTTTTCTATGGTAGTGAAAAAAATGCTTTACGACTGAAAGATAATGGATTGTATTTATGGCAATATATAGCAAAAACGATACGACCGATCACATGAACAGTTAGTAATCTCATGTGTGTGTGTATTTCAGTACATCGAGGATAAATTCCACTAATTAAGGCAGAAATATTGTGGGAAGATACAGAGTTCTTTTGACCCAACAACAAAATTGACATCACTTTTCCTTTCTGTCACTTTTTTATTTCAAAATTATATTTAAAAATGTGTATTATATATGTATTAAATTTTAAGTGTGTATGATTATGCATAAATTTACTTCCCTTTTCATAAGAAATTTACTTCTTTCTTGTATACTTTCTTTTTGTTTCTTTTTCGGGCATAATGATTTCTATGACTACCAATTATATAAAATTCCTTTCGCTCTAGGGAAACAACTGCTGGCTTTAAGCCTAATCTCTAGACTCAAACCAAAAGGATTTTTTATTGTTTACAGTCAAATCTCAAGATCTGATAGATCCACTCACAGTCAAATCCTCAATCTACATTTTAGAAAACTCCATAATCTCATGAATTTCAATCTAGAGGCAAAAGATATCATCACTATCGCTATATTTGAAAAGGAGAGAAATCAAATGGCTGCCGAAACGATAAAGGGAAAAAAAAGAATAGTTTATTAGGCAAATCTTTTAATTTACGGACAATAATAATTATCAACTTTAGTCCCCACTCTATTAATTCCTTGTGAGCACTATTAACGTTTTAGTTAAGATTGTGCAAATTAAAAGTCGCATGTTAGATGCTTAATCATATGATGTTGAGGGTATGAGGGATTATTATCGTTTGCTTTTGAATTGCTTCTACGTGCTTTGCGTTTTACATCATTCGCTGCTTTGTTAGAAGCAACCAAGAAATTACGAAATAAGTGTTTGTTGTTTAATTATCTGGCCATCTGGTTTATTCCAGCCTTTAAAAGGATATCTATGTATATTTTGTTGTTTATATATATATATATATATATATATTGTATATATATATGTATGTATATACATATTATAGTTGTCATGTGATGATGATATACAATATCGCTTATTTATATATTTGAGTATTATCAGACTTAATTAAGGGTAATCTTTAAAGGTGTCTTTTGCACTTACTTTATACTCAAGCATCAAAGACTACTATTCCAATAAAATTAATATTTAATGCCGTTTATCTTCATTTCATTGACATATATCTTATATATACCTCTAAAATAAGTCATGCTACAATCAGAGAATATTTTTTCATTTCCTGCATATTATGATAACTCGTAATTTTAGACTTTATGATTAAAAGTGTATATATAATACTCTTTTTAATTCCATGTTTGCCTACTTTTATGCATATTACATTGGAATATAACAGTAGGGCATTTTCTAGAATAACATATTAATTAAGTATTTCACAAAACAATAAAAAATGACTTGTATTAAGATTCATGGTTATATTTTTTCCCCCCTAAAACGTGCCCGATGTATGGGAGAAAGTAGTCATTATATAGTTATACTAAACATTTGATACCTTATATGCGTAGCCAAAATGGTATATCTTACCTGCACATCAAAATAATACTCCTTCCGGTTTTTATTATAAGTTTCAAATAACTAATTTATGAATAATAAATAACTAATTAAAATTAATTAAAAATAATAAATAGGTTAGAAATATATTTTTATTTTCAAATATGCCCTTATAATAAATGAGAAAAATAATTAAAGAGAATGTGTGGAGAAATTGGCAAGAGAAATAATTAAGGGTAATATTAGAAAGAATGCATTAAATATTAAAACAAACTCAAATTAAAACTTATAAAATGAATTATGCTCTCTTTTAAATTTAAAGCTTATAAATACGATTGGAAAAAGAGTATATAGTTGTGTGGTGTGTGTATAGAGAGAGAAAGAGAGAGAGAGAGAGTAACGTACACTGAATGTGCCATTGTATTGTCTGTGCCATATTCTTGCTCTGACACCAAGGTGTCCATTTCATAAGCAGGCGTTTCAAACGTGCGATTTAACACACACACACACACGATCATCCATATCTCACTAGTTTCATCTAATGATAGTACATAAAACTTAATTCATCCCAAAATTTCAATGTCAAAATGAGTGTATCATCCAAGAAAGAAAGAGTACGTACAAATTTTACGAAATGGTGAGGGATTTTATCCATTTTGAGATTTTTTTTTCCCTTAGTAACAAAATAGTAGTAGATAATTAAGTATTATTTTTAACAGAAAACTTTCGAAACCATTAAAGGAAGAACAAAAGGACATTCAGCTCCCTCTGCCTGACAAGGGACAAAGATTCATACCGAGCTGGCTTCATTGTCCTCCTTCGCAGTTTTGGTAACAAAACATTTTTCAATGAAAAATTACACATTAGAAACGTGCATCTTTTGCTTCTGCTTCTGCCTCACATGTCCTGTTAATTAAATGCTACCTCATCGTTTTGCTTTAAAAGCCACATCAGTTCAGGTTCCCACATTTTTTGGTCGGGGGTTTTTATAACCCTACAACACCAAATGTCTCTCTTAAATATTTGAAGTTGTGAATTTGTAACTTCTATGAAAAAAAAAATGTTATAAACATGTAAGTTATGACACACAAAAAATCTCCCCTTTTTTGGTTCTTTGCGAGCACTAATTTAGTTGTTGCATGGCTATGTTCGACGTACACACGTTGGTGGAAGTAGTTCTTGTTTAAGATGGCTTTTGTTAAAAGGTCTCAACCTTTTTGGTCAAACTTTGACCTTAGAAGAAGAGGCAGCTATGTACTTACGTACGGTACACGTATAGACTCAATAGACATATTTTTCTCAATTAATTTAATATATGGCTTTAGTTTCGGGCTCCAAAAAGAGAGTTTGGTTTTTGTCATCACCCTATTTTCTAGATTATCACATCACCATTGCGAACGAGATTTGGTTTACGATCTCAGATTACGATCTCAGATGTATTTGGATAAAACTAAAATTACAATTTAAAAATAATTTTACGATATACAAAATAAATGTATGATAAAAATTATCTCGATTTGTATAAAAATACTTTTAAAAAGTATTTATTTTTAGTCCAATTAGGCTGTTAGCTCCGAGTATTCCTCCTGATAAAGCCAAAACAATTGTTAATAAGATATCATTTCCCCCCACCAAACCCCCCCCCCTAAACACACACACACAGACACACACAGAGATATCGTTTCTTGCAAATAAGAAATAGTTTCTGGTCTTTATTTTTTCATTCAATTGTAAATTTATTTATTTTCTTTTAATTTATAATTTTAATGGAAGAACCGGCCAATGGGCAACGGGTTCGTCACATGATCCCTTCCCAGGGATCGACTTGGTGCTGATGACATAAGATCCAACACAAGCAGGCCCAATGCCCACAGCCCAAACAAGTTTTCTATTTTAATCATAAATTCATAATCACGTAATTATAATATCGTAAAACATAATAAGCTTACAAACAAATACTTGAATGCTTAGTTGAAATATGGAAAATTGAATATTTTTAATACAAAATCTATAAAATCGCATAAGCTATAAGACGTGCGTCCCCAGATTTTGTACAAAGCACAAGCCTCTAATACATAACATGATATAAAAATCTACATGTAATTACGATATTTATAAGCTAAAAATAACTGCTTAACCTATTCTATTTAGGCCATAAAACGGACAAAGTTTTCTATATGCATTATCCCCTTCATGCAGAGATCACAATAAGTTAATGTAATAAAATTTATATTCAGAAATCATGGAAAAGCATCAGAGCATCATCAAGTTTCATCAGGGAGGATTCCAGCAGTAACCAGGCATTTCTCAGCCGTTTATATCTCTTCTGTAGCGGCCCCACAATCTTGTCTCTAGGAACATTCAAAAGCTGCAATAAAGGAGCAATATCATCTCTAATACAAATCAATGGCGATACTGAAATCGAATGCAACACACAAGGACAATAGATTGGAATAAACTGAGAATATTGTAACCAACTGTTCACGTCACCGCGCAATGAGCCTAACCTTATCATACGCTCACTTATATTTTGAATATTTTCACTGTGTTTTTCAACAATGAAATTGTTCATCGTTATAACATTTAGGTAATAATTACTATAAATCATCAATATATAACATCTAGAAAGCTGCATTGTTCGAAGGCCATATATATAATAAGACTCGCCTTAAATTTCATGCAACATACAGGCCCACATCTAGTTAAGACCAAAATTACTAGTTTGATTAAACAGTAATAGTACAAACCCCGGAGGAATGGATTAAGATACTTTAAACCGCGTAGGATTACACAGTTTCACTGATATTTAACCAAACCAACCCCAAAAAAAAAAAAAAAAGTCTCTAGTGGTACTGTAGGGCTTTAACCTGTGAATAAATAAAAGTAACAAAAGCATTATATCTGCTATTTTAGACAGGAAAACTGCTCTGTCATCATTGATTTGCTTTAGCCCGTCACCGGATTTATTTTTTCTGTATCACAAAAGAAGAAAATTGGCACTCAAGCAGCAACCACGAGCAAGGTAAGACTGACAAGTATATCTGTATATTTAATTAGTTTTCCAACGTAACTAGCCATAACATGAAATAAAACCCACAGCTTCTGGGGAACATAATCCCTTAAGAATGGCAAAAAGAAAAATGCATATAAAAACTTTTTAAAGGAAAGACAACCTAAATACTTCAATATCCATGTGCTCACTAACCTCTTCATCCTTTTCCTGCTCATAAGCCAGTCGTAGGCTCAAATTTAAGGCCGCATGATGCATCTCATCTAGTACGTGCTCCCACAAAATAGGCTTGTTAACTTTCCATAACAAAAACTTTGATTGCCTAGCTCCTGTCACAACCAATTTCTGCAAGGAAGATTAATTGTGATAACAAATCAGACCACAAATATAAGTTAGATTCCTGGTGGGTCGAAAATTTTCAAAGGAGACTGGTCACCTCCATATGCAGATAGTCATCCTTCCATAACTTGTATAGTATCTTCGGAGTATCTCTTTTCTCAACAAAAGTAGACTCTGCTATCTACGAGGAAAAGAAAAGAATAAAATGGTCATAAATAGTTGCTTAATATAGTGTTTCGGTCATCTGGAAGAATTTTTTTTCTTTTCATTTGCATATAGACATAGATGTATAAGTAATGATGGGACTATCATAACATCTATAATGTGACAAACTCGAAAGAAGGAAAAAAAAGCTTCAGGCAAGATTCCTATACAAGTCACAATTATATGCTATGGCCTTCTTTCTTCTTATTTTTTTCTTTCCTTGTGTTCTGATAAAAAAGCACACAAGCAGAGCTTGCTTACTGAGATTAGATGTTTCATCTATATACACAGAAGTTAGCAGCAAATATATAAGCAAAATTTGTCACTCAAGGTGTTGTATGTATTAGGATCCAAGGAACCCTCTGATGTTCCAAGTTCCAAGATACAATCTATGCTTGATATTTCTGGAAGAATGTTCCTCCTCTTATATCATAAATGTTATTATTAATAGAAAGTAAAACACTTCACAATTAATCAGCTTTAGCTCCAAGAAATTCAAGCTATACAGGTTCGAAGCATTGGCAAATAGACAATTGGACAAGTAAGCAGAGTTGTTGATGAGCTTGCAGATATGTTTTGTGAGTTCTATGCCATGAATGTCCAGAAGAATTCAGATATAAATCTCTGATAATAGGAATCTTTTATGATACGTCCAAGGTGGACTCCTCCCACTATCCCATGCTTCCACTCATCAACCAAAAGTCCAACACAATGTCCTAGCTGCATAACGCCTTCAAGGTGATGAACATGGTATTAAAAAATCTATTAAGGTCTGAAAATGGTATCTCAGCATTGAAAATGTGTTAGCAGCTATTTTGATATTTAACCAGAGCTAACCAAGAGGAAAAGATGTAAAAACAATCAGTATATATGAGGTCACTAAATGCTTTAAGCATTAAGAGTTACCCGTTAAAATTTGTCTATGGCTCTATTTATTTTAGTACATCATTTTAATTTGCAAAATCTCAGAGTTTCCTTAAGTAGACATTCAAGGCTCAAATTGAACTTCAAAATCAAATATTTGGTGCTTAGATTTTTTTAAAATATAAGTTGAGTATTGAGCTTTCATATCCATATTAACTGAATTAAAGTCCTAATCTGCCGACAAGAAATAACCACCTTATCGGTCTCGAGAAAACGACCAGCCTTGGACAACAATCTGAACATCCTGTAGGCATCCCTTCCGTACCTTTTCAATACAATTGACTCAACCTGCAAGATAGGACAAGAAATGAGACAGTTCTAGATAAACCAATTTTGACATTATGTAACAGCATATAAGGACCTCTTCATCTCGAGCAGACTCAATAATTTTCTTCAGATCTGAAAACGAAAAAGAATGAATTGTCAAAAACAAACTATTGGAAAAGTAAATAAGATGGAAAAGATGGAGTCTCTACTGGGAATAAATAAATCAACTGAAAGTGGTTATTTCCCAACACACAGTAAAGCATAACATGAGGAAAAGAGATCATATTTGCACCAATACTATATGAATCATCTAACATTCTCTGAGGACAACCCAGTAGGACAAGAGAAGATCTAACACGCTCCATGGTCATAGCACGGCCACTTGCAGTCTTCTGCACCTCAGTGAAAATAGCATCCAGTGTCAACGGAACTGAAACATAAAGAGATCTAGTGTAAATCACTACTCACAAGAGACAGCAGTCCTGGTAGTGAAGACACAGAAAGGTTACATTTTTTCATTTCCATTTCTCAGAATGCAATATAAAAATGTGTGACAGACAAATCCAGAAGATCCCCACTCATTTTTCTTTTGGCCATAATATTGAGTTGCAACAGGCAAGAGCATGAAACCAGAATTAAGCATATCCCCTCACTAATACAAATAAATGTAGTCATTGCTATGTAAATATATATTTAGGCTTTTAAATTCACAGAGCAAGGGATCTGGTTCACCTGAATTCTCCATTTTCACTTTTTTCTCAGCATTTCTAGTTGCGTCCAGTATTGCCCCCAAGACAGTAGCAGGTTCATCATCATGCGATGTTCTGACATTCTCAATCAATACCTAAGAAAAGCATACAAGTGCATTCCTTCAATAACAACATTGATAATGATTCTCTAATTGGAGACAAACAGTTTTAGTTTTAAAATCACAATAAATTACTGTGTGAGATCACTGAAATTTTGTAATGTTTTGCTAATAAAATTAAGATAATGAAGAGAATAGGCAACACATGAACATAGTTCCTCATTGCCACATCCAAAACAAGCAAAAGGATATACTAGATGCAGCAAAGGAAAAGCAATTTAATGTCAATCAGTAGATTAATCTACGAGATGTTATGATTAGTTACTTTCCATAGACTTTCAACAATTAGAAGCATGCACTTGACATCTTGTAAATCACACTGATTGGCTTTTGAAAGACAGAAATAAATTAAAACTTAATTTCAACTTCCATCACTCGTGAAAACAAGCTACAGAGAAGATGCACATTAAAACCTCAGTATTAAAGGAGGTCTTTGGTTCAAATTTCCATGCCAAAAAAAAAAAAAACAAAACAAAAGATACAACATCAAACTATAGAGATGTTTTCTTAAAGAAAAGGGAAAAGGCATTTAAGGTAGGATTTGCAGGTCAATGTAACAGAGATAGCAGTAGAAAAGTTGCAATGGAACATTATACAGTAAAACCAACCTTGTGCCTACAACGACGTATAAACTCCTCAAAATTGGCACGAAAGAGAGTTGAATCCTCTCTTGCTGCACTTCAGACAATCATAATTCAGCCATATCTATGTTGAACAGGAAACAAGTAATCCTAATTCATCTGATCACTCAAGATGACAGAGTCTTACCAACATTTGCTCCAGCTCCGGTTGTGGGTGAAATCTCTGAGTTATTTATTACATCAGAATTTGAAGTGAGAGAAAACCTGATTCCTTCCACGGGCACAGCTGCTTCTAAAACACGATACTCTATTGTCTCTGGTTCTTCTACTATCTATAAGCAAGGATTTCCAAAAGAAAGAGCATCAGTAGAACTCATATTTGGGATACCGAATTGAACACCTAGTGTTTCAGCTTCAGTGGAAAAGATTATATCAAATCGTTGATTCATTGTCATAGAAAGAGATCATTTACTTATTAAACAGGACCAGACATGGAACCAGAGAAGATTTTGAGTCATAAGATTATTTGCTGGGTCACTCACAATCCACATGAACTTTTTATATCTAAAATACTGCCAAAAAATACAAGTGAGATTTATGATGATTTGTCGGTCTTAAGTGAGATAATTCTCAACTTAGAATATTCTTTGATTACATTTTAATAATAGAAAACTAAATTTTACTGAAGAAATTTAGGGTACATAAACTGATATAATTTAATATACAATATCATTAGATTTTTTTTTTTTTTTGGGTATAACTCAAAAGTATCCTCAAACCATTTTAGGCTTTAGACTAATCTCTATCGGGTCGAGAACGTTAAGGTTAAAACCCTTCCAACAAATGTGCTTCACAGGATTTGAACTTATGCTCTCCTTCTGTTAGATCTTTTTTATCAAGTCTGATAGGCTTTTTAATATTATTATGTTATATGTAGTAAAAGCACATCACAGAAAGGACATGAACTAGCGAGAAACACATGCAATGCAACTAAGTCACACCCAGTAGAAAAGTTAATGCTGCAGCCTATATAACAAAATAACGTGATGGCATGGTGAGCAGATCTATTCTTATTGGGTAAGACATTAACAACTCATGTTGACTGTTTTTGGGCAATTTTTATATCAAATTATCTTATTAGCTAGGTTAAAACGTTGATTTCCATTGACTTCCCACTGGAGCTGGACTTATTTGCACTTGTTTATTTTTTTTGGACAAGATGGATCCATTTCACAGGGTTTTGTTAAATATCACCCATAAATAAATTTTTGTTTGAGTACTGCTAAATTGGATTAAAATAACATTATTTACATAAATGACATATTAAATTATTTGCATCAAATTGTATCGGTTTTAAAACAATCTAATTTTCTTCATGCAATAGAATCAATATAAATCGGTACAAAATATGCAAGGCATAGGGAATCACATTGTTTGAAAGCCATGAATAACACGACTCATCTTGGGCTCTGTGCAGATGCATAAAATCCACTTTAGTTATATATATTAATAAACATATATATGGATGAGCGCACACCCTTATTGAGTTCAACTTTCCATTATAATTAGTTAATTGTTCTTCCATCTCTTGGGAGATATCTAAATCGTACAATCCGCTACTCAATTTTGAAAATAGATCCTCTTCCCTAAAATTAAAAGATGCACAACAGAATCTGTGATCATGATTTGAAGATCAACCGTCACTGAATTAGCATTACTGACTGAAATTAAAATGGCAACTGCAAAACAGTAATCAACCTATTAAGCCTTAATCAAAGAAAGTACTCTTCTGGTCCTATTTATAGGGCAAATAGAAAAGACATTTTTGGGTGTTATTTATAAGGCACTGAGAGAAATTTTTTGTATAGATATACAATTTTACTCTTCATTTATTATTATGTTGACTTTGTTTATATGAAGTATAGTGTATATTAAGTAGGGATAAAATTGAAAAGTTGTTGAATTTTAAATGAGAGTTAATGAAGTTTAAGATTTTTCTTGTTCTATATGAAACATGTTGGAAGTGACTTATAAATAAGACCAGAGGAGTACAACACAGTTAACTAAAGATGATGAGATGAAGCAACAATTACCTTGGACTTAGCACCTCGCCTTTTGGTGTCCTGCTCAACTGGAGGAGAAATAACTGGCTCAGGGGAAGGGCAGCGTTCAACATATCGGACCATTAAGAGTTTACGAAGGCTCTCTTGTACAACATCTAAGGCCACAGCATTTTCTGAAAGAAGAAGTCCATTGATTTGAGAAAAACTAATTGAAGGGGATTTACTTGAACTAGCAAACCAGTTATGCCCACTCCTTAAGTACCACAAATCTTAGCCAAACGGCACACTGCTATCCCTATCTCTGCACCAAACCCAGATCATACCACACTTTTGGTAATTGAAGTCTTTAAGGCATTTATAATTTTAAACCAGATATTCTTTGACATGTAAAAGAACAATTTAAGCTCTATAGTCTTCCCATGTTTGATGGAATCCCAGATGATCAACATTCCACCATAGAAGCTTTATCTTGTTTTGTTTAGTAAACAAACTACACCACAAGAATTAACCAACTATTACGTCATAAAATTTCGCTTCTATCATCAATTGGCTTGGCCACATAAATATAACTAATCACTTAGACCAGAACATGTGTGTAACCAGAACAGCCAAATTACGAATGCATCTAGCAAACCATATTGTTATGTGGAGCAACAAGTCAAAAATACGATAACAATAAATAGGTTTATCCAACTGAAGAAAGAAAAAATCCCTCTCACGTTAGGGTTTCCATTTTTCATATAAGTATAAGCCAATATAGCATATACGTCATGGACGAGTAACCTTTTCTTTGGCTTGCTCTGTCAACCATCTGTTTCAGAGTTAGCCTACCATCACGGAGCAATCCCTCAAGAAGCTCTACACACTGCAACACCAATCACCAATATACTCAGCATTCAAAGCTTACTGAATTCAAAACCCAAGAAACATAAGGGTCATGATGAAACTAACTTCTTCATCAAGATCCTGTGAAACGACCTCCAAGAATTTGGGAAATCTCAACCGATGGAGTATGTTGTCAAATAGTACCAGGTACTGTGTATAAGCTTTTGATCCTTCACGACCCACATTTATAGTCAGTCAGGGCAACAACATTAAGAAACATTACCAACTTTTGAGACAAAAAACAAATAACGCATTAAGATTTAATCAACATTCTCACACATGTATTTATGAAATAAATTGTCAATGAATAAACAAACAAACACACAATAGATTGTAATTCCATAATATGCATAAATATATATATAATTTAATAAAACGTGCAACTCTTGATTCTAACATATTAAGCACATTTTGAGCCCAAAAATCCAACTTGATGAAGCATCACTAGCTCATCTTTACATTTTATTTCAACTTCCAAATTTTACTTGATAGCCACTACCCTCACCCACTTTTTATTTGTAAACAACCTTCTTATGCTTATCTCCTATATTGAGTCATTTTAAAGAGCAGCTTCCTCATATTTCAATTATTGATATAGGTTATGAATATTATCCAGTCATTTTGAATATTTATAAGCTATTTTCTTATGCCAACATGTGTATAGGGATACAAAAGGAAATAGGGGAATTGTTTATGATATTGGGTCCTGATATAAACTCCTTGTTTAGACACCAGAATTGTCAGAGAAGATATCCATATTTTTCCCATTGTATCCCTACCCCATGCTGGCATAATGAAATAGCAAAGCAATATTCAAAATGACTAGAAGATATTCACAACCAATATCAGTTATGTTCTGTATTTCTTCTATTGATCAGTAAGAGCATTAATCATCAACAGTCTGGGCCATGTCTCAGTTTCAATGTGGCTGGGCGTTTAATTTGAATACTCATCAATCATATTCTTTGATTATTTTCGCTTGCTTTTTTTTCCACATCCATGAACCGTCTAAAATGATTAAAATAGAAGGAAAAAAATTCTAGTCTATGCCCTGGGGAGATTCAGAGTGGCTTTCTGGTTGACATAAATATTATTAATTCACATGCTCAATCTCGAAATTCTCATTTGAGACATCAATTCATTTTAATTCTATTAAGAAAATTGTTGAGTCTTAATCAAACCCACAGTAAGAAGTAACAAAATACCATATTCACAGTAGTGATAGAGGAAAGCTCGCACCAGCCATGAACTGCTTCAAATTGCACCGTTCCTCCAACATTATGGGAAACAGAAAAATAACAAGAAGCAATAATTTGTGCAAAACAAAAACAAAATTGTTATATACCTTCTTGTTCAAGAATAAATGCTTGAACACAGTTGTGCTGGACTAAGACAAGTAGGGAGTTCTTGACTTGCTCTTTGGTAAGCTCCGTGAACCGAACCAATTGCTCCAAAGTGAGGGTTCCCCTCCTAAGAAGGCATTCACATACTTTCTGCACAAACACACAACGTTGAAACGAAATTGAGAAAAATAACCAAGGAGATACTAAGGGCTGAGAGGTAATTACCGCGACGAGGTTTCCGAAGTGATTGGTGATAAGATGGACGGCAAATTTGATGCCGTACTGGCGAGCCATTATCGTGAGTGCACTGCGTCGGAGAAGAGGGACAGCGGCGGCAAACAAGGGTGGGAGAGGAGAGCAGCGGAAAGAGGCGGGAAGGGAATAATGGGATGATTACTCACCTAATATATAATTAATTTTTTCGAATCCTCGCTCGTCAAGGGTCCATAGCTCAGTGGTAGAGCATTTGACTGCAGATCAAGAGGTCACCGGTTCGAACCCGGTTGGGCCCTTCATTTGTATTACCATTTTATCAGTCTTTTTTTTTGCCAATTTTTTTGCAGTCTGATTAAATTGTTTTCACACGTATAATTTAATTAAGAGATTACCAACCAATTTACATAATATCACTTTTAAATTTTGAAATAAAAATAAAAACAAGTAAATTGGTTTGACAATATATATATGAGAAACAAAATAAATTAAGATTTTATACTTATTAATAAATCCAAATTCCTAATTGGCTCTGGTACTAAAGGCTGGACGGAGTATTAGAAAATGTAGCGGATCCATAAAGTTACTAGGGTTGAAATTCAAATGTGGTGAAATATTTTTTTTATAACAACGTTAGGTATCTAAAACTAATTTTTTTATGCTTCTGACACCTTGAAGTTTTCTTTTTCTAATAATACTCAATATTTTAAAGTAATTGTTTATTACGTTCAGTATCTTCAAATTTTTTTTTTAACTCACTATTCTAATTTAAGATGCCTACTAAAAAAATGCCTTAAGTATAAAATTACTTTGGGATATTAAATGCTAATAGAAAAATATTTTAAAATGCCATTAGAAATTAGTTTTGAATAATGAGTGTTAATAATATTATGATCATAGTATTACGATGATGTTGAGTGGATAATTTGCTTACCATGTCTACAAGGTAAAGGAGACGAAGTGAAGATCATACAAATACCACTAAAATTTCCAATACCAAATGGTACATGGCAGAAATTTGATGAAATAAGGACAGAACTATACGTGTGCGTATAATAAATTGTAAAGACAAAATTGACCCTCTTTATTTTTTAAAATCACACTCTCGTTCTTATGTCTAGTTTTTCTTCCTCTTTCTCTCGCCTCTCACTCAAATCCAACAAGCCCCCCCTCTCTCCATCCCGCTGAACAATAGGCCAACGGAGAAAATAGAAGAAAATCATGGTTGCTGCATAATTGAGATCAGCTAGCAGAGGCCAAGATTGTTGGGTTAGTTGAGATTGCGTGTGTGGGCAAGAGAGAAGGCAAAAGGTCATGTGTGGATGAAGAATGTCTTGAAATTAAATTAAGTGAAAGCGTTGATATGCTTCCACTAAAAGGTGCAGAAAATAAATGATTAATTTCTCGCAGATGAATCGTGAGAAAACAGAAGCAGCCAAGACGCTCGCTCATATTTTGAAAATGTAATCAAGGCTTAAAGCTCAATGTTTTAGTGATTCTGATTTTCTGATCTCATGCATGAATGAAGTATATCTAATTGTTCTTGAAAAATATAATTTTTTCACATCTCTTATTTAGAATATTAGTTTGTTTAGGAATTTCCATATCCTTATTCTGTGTATAATTTGAGGAATTTCTGATATTCCATCCCTCTCCATTAGTCACTCTAATAATTTTCTGGTTTTCTCCACATGAGCAAGTAGAGAAAATTAAATTCTCCCCTTCTCTTCGGTGGTGTCACTTTTGTATAGAGATCGATTCCACGCTGATTGTGATCCAAACCACGTGGGAGGAAGACTCGTAAGCGAATATGAACCAGACAATAATTTTTGAACAAGTACTCCTCCACCCCACTCCAAAAATTTACAGATAAAGCAGTTTTTTTTTTAAAAAAAAGAATAATAATTGGACCAAAGGTAAGGCACACATATATATGATTGTATGTTAGTAGGAAACGCTTGGTTCAACTAATCGATAAGGAGTTGTACGACCCTAACAAGAGATCTTGGCAATACAACAATGTTAAATACTTGATGGGAGAGTTTTGTTGCCTTCTGTGATCCTACGCGATTAGAATTAGAGGGTGTTTAGTATACTAAAAATACTTTTAAAAAATATTTTCACGCAAGCTGAGACAAAACTCCTCTTACATATCTATTTTGTATACCATAAAATTATTTTTAAAACTATAGTTCGATTTTCACCCAAGCATCTACTTAATCTGAACATTAAAGCTAAGGCATATATCGGCTTAACTGGCTGGAGATATTGAGTTCAAATCTTAAGGGTCTAACGGCGTACGTGTTAAATACTTGATGGTAGAGTTTTGTATATGCCCTTTATGATCATGCTCAACTTGGTCCGAATTAGTCAGGACACCATTAATTAAGTGCTAATCTAGAAAGAAAGTAATGTATATGTGAAAGGAAGGAAGGAGGGAGGGAGGGAAGAGTCGTAATCGGGATTGAAAAAATGCCGAGGAGATGGGCAGCAGCAATAGCTGTGTGATGGGAACAGAGAGGTGCCTTATCAACCAAATAATCCCTCCATCATCATCTTGTCGGTCCCTACTTTTAATGACACCACATTTAATTCACCACTTCTTCACATTTTTGTGCTCTAAACGTATCTTCTTCATCTTTCTTTTACTTTTCGATCGTTTCCCCCCACAATGTCCCTATAGTTGTTTCCCATTTCAAAAGGCTTGTTATGCACCTATTCTCTTGTTCTATATATACATGTCCATTTTAGTGCCTGCTGACGTCAAAATACTCCAATCTAAGATTTTACTTTATTATTAATCAATAATTCCTTTGATTAGATGGAAATTAAAAGGTATTCTAGTTTGTGTATATATATATTGTTCATTTTCTGAGAAATAATATCTTGAAATTGGTTTGTCCAGATCAAATCTGGAATGTTCGGATTAATTAGTTGCTATTGTAGCATCAGCAAAGAATCCAAGGGCGTTATGCATGGTTAGTGTTATGAAAGAGATTTCGTAATTTCGATGACATATTAATCAATGATACTAAATCAATTTAATCCTTCTATGGCTAACTCAACTAAGTGGTTTGGGATTAGCATTTCTAGCTAGGAAAAAAAAAAGGATTAACATTTTTTTTTTTTGCGCTGAGGCAAGAATATGAGAGAAAGTTTTACCTTGTAAAATGCAAAAATATTTTTTTAAATTGATTCTGGGATTTTCCAAATACCCAGTAAAAAAAAGATAAAGTAGGGTATAGGCCTTTTAGGGTTTAATCCTTGTTGATACAAACTCCGCGAAAAAATTAAAACTTTTTATTTGTATGAATATGAATATAGAATATTCGTTAGAAATAACAAAGTATTGTTTTTGGTTGATGGAATAAATGCAGAAACCAAGATGATAGATAATTATATATACACATACACTATAGTTGATGCATACAAAAAAAAAAAAAAAAGAAGGATGTGTGAGAGATAGAGCAAGAGCATGTGGGGGGGAGTTGAAACAAGAGAGACAAGGGCAAAACCAAAGGCATGAAAACAGTCCCCACCTTTCTTTTCTTGTATAAATCAGAGACCAACCCACAGTTACTTTATGGACCACACACTAACACCATTTGTAGACAATTAAGCTCTCTCTTCTCTGTGTTATGGTCCCAACAGCCCTACTTAGCTTCTTCACTCTCTCTCTCTCTCTCTCTCTCTCTCTGTGATCCCAGACGCCGTTGGTCGACGATGATGGAGATGATTGCTGAGTATACTGCCCTCGATCGCTTATATTATTAGTGTAGGTGGATGCTTCCAAAGGGATCGCATTGATCTAATCCTTTCGTTTCTGCGATTCCTCCTTCTTCAGATCATGCGATCTCTTGGGAAGTTTCCATCACCTCTACAAATTTTTCATCTCTCTCTCTCTCCCACCCCTCTTTTTCCAGGTAAGGTCCATATCATCTTCCTTTCTCTCTCTCACTGAAATAGAGAGTAAAAAGGTTAAACTTACCATCTTTTATAAGTTTATACCCTCTCGATTGCATAAAGATTATATCTTCTCTTTATATATGATTTTGTAGCTCATGACTCTGGGTCAAACTTCACTTGGTAGCTAGCTTGAATATCTTATATACTTAGCTCAGGGATCAGATTCAGATACATGCGCATGCATGCCCTTTAGGCGAACTTAGACAGATTAATTAATTAATTAACAAATTAATGTTAACAAACAATAGGTTGTTTAGTCTTGATAATATATAATGGGAAATCATCTGCTTTCTGATCCTTTTGATGACCCCTTTCATCAGTTTTAATCCTGAAATCTGTCTCTATACTGATTCTTTTTTTCTACTGCCGAGTTGCTACACACAAACACACACACTTGAGGATCACTTCTTCTTTCCCAGATCTGTCACTCTTAGTAAATAATCTGGGATTAATCATTTCACACTGCCTGTGTATTTCACATTTTTTTCCTAAAATACCTACCAGGTGCATATATAATCGGGGAAGAAAAGTATATATTTGATATTTGATTAGTTATCTTGAATAATTTTTATGATCATAATTCTGTTGAAACGTGAAGCATAAAGCTCACACTCTCTAAATAAACGTTGTCACTCAATTTTATTAACTGCAATTTAGAGGGAAATGAAGAAAAGTATAGTTTTCTGTTTTCTTATCTTCGATCTAAAAAATTTCATCCCTGGTTCTTTGGTAATTATTCGTCTTAATTGAATTTATATTTGTACTTCATAAAAATTATGCTGCTCTTGCGTTTTTTTAATCTACTGACTAAAATAGGTAATCAGGGGACAAGGTTGAAGAATATTCAGAAAATGAAGTTTTCTTAATTAAGAAGTTTGGAAAGTATAACTAAAATTTGTCAGATTCGTGTATGTATTACCAGAAATTGGACTAACTTGTAACAAACGGTGCTATACATAAATGTTGCTGCTATATTTTTTTATAAAAAAAAAAATATGCTGATGGAATATTCTTCTGATAATATGGTTGATTTCAGTGTAATCTTTCTCATTATAAGTAATGAGAATTGATTTGTACGTATAACAAACAGTTCTATAAATGTGGTGATGATGGAATATTTTTGGGAAAATGACAACTATAAACCATGTGGCAATTTTAGATAGAGAGACCTTGAAATTTG